GCAGGAAAAGGGAAGCTTGCATTTTCCTCAACAGCCAGGCTGGGCTTCTGATCTCACACGATCATGGAATGGTTTGAGTTGGAAGGGACCTCAAACATCACCTCATTCCAATCCCCTGCCACAGGCAGGGACACCTTCCACTACATTTCTGTGGCACTTTTAACCCAACTTGGACAACCTCAAGGTGTTGGAAGCTCCTGCTGACTCCAATATCCCTTTCCCAGAAGCAGGACACTTACCAGTCAGGTTTCCTGGGAGCTAAGTTTGCCAGATCCTAGAGAGGAAGAGGAGACACCCAGTGAGAGCTCCACGCAAGGTTCAAACCTGGATACAGGGATGCACCTGGCATGGAGCAGCTCTGAGTTTACTTACCACCTCATCGATGATGGGCTCAGGTTTGGCAGCTTCCAACTGGTCCTTCACCGTGTCTTCCACTAGATGGGGAAACAGGATCAGCATCAGGATACCGAGGGAACACAAGAGAATCCCACCAGAGCTCTGGGCTTGGCTCCCAAAAGCTTTAATCAAACCCATTTCAACATCTTTGGTGCACACAAGTGAGTACATGTGGGTAGACACATCCCTGCACCGCCCAAACCCTTCCAGAGACTCCCCAAAATCATCTGGAAATGATGCAAACACCACAAACAGCAACAGCAGCAACAAGCCTGCTGTGTTTGAGGCCTCTTTTCGCAACACTCACAGGGATCAGCTGCTCAGGTGTGGAATTTGCCTCACTGACTCAGTTCCAAGGCCTGAGACAGCTTGGAGGACACAAGCTCCAGCCCAGACTTTGTGTAAAGGTCTATGGATATTGGGAATGATGGCAAAGCACATGGAGTTGAGCCTCACCCTCCAACTCCAGTGGAAGGAAGGAGTGCAGTACCAGGGAGCACAGCCTTGAGGGGTGAATCCTGCTCCAGCAGGTGCATTTCATAGAATCACAGGATCACTGATGCTGTAAAAGGTCTCTGAGATCATGAAGTCCCACCTTTCCCCCAGCACTGCTAAGGCCACCACTAACCATGTCCCCAAGTGCCACATCCACATGGATGTTAAATCCCTCCAGGGATAATGACCACCCCTGCCCCGGGCAGCCTGTGCCAGGGCTGGACAGCCCTTTCCAGGAGGAATATTCCCAATATCCAACCTAAACCTCCCCTGATGTAACTTGAGGCTGTTTCCTCTTGTCCTGTCCCTTGTTCCCTGGGAGCAGAGCCTGAACCCCACCTGGCTGCACCTCCTGTCAGGCAGTTAGAGAGAGCCAGAAGGTCCTTCCTGAGCCTCCTTTTCCCCAGGCTGAGCTCCCTCAGCCACTCCTGCTGCTCCAGCCCCTTCCCCAGCTCCATTCCCTTCCCTGGACATGCTCCAGCCCGTCAGGACACACTCCAACCCCTCAGTGACTTCGTTGTTGCAAGTCAAGGGAGGTTTTAAACCTTCCCGAGAGGATAAGGAAAGCACAGAGCCAGCATTCCCACCCTCCCAATCTCTTCTGTGCTCCCTTTTGATTTAGGGCATTTTAAAAGAGATTTTTTCCAGGAGGATTCCATGTTTCAAGATCAAAGGAAGTCCTACCCTTCACCTCCCCCTGAGGAGCTGTGTGGAGGTTCAGTGCTAGGAAACACCAGACTGAAGGCTCTGAGTTTATAACTAGTATTTGATTAAAGTGAAATCTAACAAAACCCAACTACAATCTCCTTGAGGATCTTGCAGTAAGGCTCCTCCGAGCATGAACCCTCAGGTTTGGGGCTGGACTCAGCACACACCCAACTTGTGCAATGCCCCACAGGCCAGAAGGTGATGAAGCAATGGAGACACTCCAACACCCATCAGGGCTCCAGTGGCCTAAACACGTCACACCAGGATACACCCCAGTGGCTTTTCCACCTTGGGTTGGAGAAGAGCTTTCCCAGCCCTTTCACCTCCCACACTCCTGTGAGGACCCACCTGATGCTGGTTTGGCTGGGGGCAGCTTCCTCTTCTTCAGCTCCTCATCTTCAGGCTCATAGTTGCGCAGTTTGATCTCCCTGAGGAGGAAAAGGACAAGCACAGAGCAGTGAGACACATCTGTGCCATCCCAGACCATGGGCACTCAGGGATGGGAGGGATGTTGGTATCAGCAGCCACAGAGCCAGCTAAAGTCACAGAATCATGTAATAATTTGGGTTGGAAAAGCCTCTAAAATCATCTAATCCAGCGCTGCCAAGGCCACCACTAACCATGTCCCAAAGTGCCACATCCACCCAGGGATGATGACTCTACCCCTGCCATGGGCACTCTGTGCCAGGGCTGGACAGCCCTTTCCAGGAGGGATTGTCCCAATATCCAACCTGAATCTTCCCTAGTGCAACTTGAGGCTGTTTCCTCTTGTCCTGTCCCTTGTTCCCTGGGAGAAGAGATCAACTCACACCTGGCTCTGAAAGTGATTCCAACTCCCTTTTAGGTTTCAACCCAGCTATAGACTCAGGGTGGAAACCACAGAGGAGATCCACAATCAAAAAGAATAAAATGATCCCAGGATGGTACAGGGGGAAACACAGAGTACTTAGGGTACAAGGGAGTTACCCAAGCACCAGAGATGCTCAAGGAAGTGCTACAAACAGGGGTGAAAATCCGGGGAGCAGGACTCCATCCCACCTCCAGCTGTTTCCACATGCCTACAGAAAACTCTGGATGCACATGGATCTATAGAACACAACAGCCCACAGAGTTAGTTAAGGAGATTAAACTCACTGAACACTGGTTTAATCAGGATAAAAGGTCCAAGAGAGCTGAGAAGGAGGTCAGCAGGCAGGTGGCCACATTTCTCTGGGAAGCACCAAAAGAGCCAACCTTGGAGGTAACTACAGCACAGGAGGAAGGTCCAACCCTTCCCACACCATCCGATCTCCTCTCCAGCTGATGAATCTATTTGCCAAGATGCCAACCCACACCATGGCTGGTACCGTGGAGGTGGTGGGAGCACCTGGATGGAGTTCAGCAAGACCTAAGTGAGATATATCATAGAGTAATAGAATGGAATGGACCCTAAGGATCATCTCATTCCAACCCCTGCCATGGGCAGGGACACCTTCCACTAGTCCAGCTTGCTCCAAGCCCTGTCCAGCCTGGCCTGGAACACCTCTAGGAGAAGCTACAGCTTCTCTGAACACTCTTGAGGCAGCCACAGCTTTTCTGGACAAACTGTGCTAGTGCCTCACCACCCTCACAGGAAAGAATTCTTTCCCAATATGCCATCTAAATCCAACCAGCAAAATGGAAACCAAGCCCAGACAGATTAGGGAATTAAGGAAACACAGGAGGGATCAGCATGAAGCTGCAATACCTCCCCCAGGCCAAAAACACCTTCATCCCAGGATGTCCAACTCCTGTACATAGATCCCACATTTGAAGAGGAACACACTCCAGAGGTCTGGTTTCTGCTACAAGAAGAGGGACTGTAAGGCTGTGCCTAGATGATCTTCCATGCCTGGCACCAACACTTTCAGGTCCTTATTAGATGTGTGGAAGCACCAGGAGTAAACAAACCAGAACTGATCCTTTTAATTAACTGTGCAAGGCAGGAGCAGCTCCTGCACCTGCCTCTGGGAATTCTCAGTGCCCAGAGCTCCCCACATCCACCTCCTCAGGGGCTCAGGGATTTCACCACACAGTGCCACACTCTGCAGGAGACTTGTCTCCTCCCTATAATCCCAGAATGGTTTGGGTTGGGATGAACCTTAAGTGTCATCTCATTCCAACCCCCTGCCATGGGCAGGGATGCATTCCACTAAACCAGGTTGCTCCAAGACTCATCAAACCTGGCCTGGAACTCTTCCAGGGATGGGGCAGACACAGCTTCTCTGGGAAACCTGTGTCAGTGCCTCAACACCCTCACAGCCAACAATTCCTTCCCAATATCCCATCTATCCCTGCCCTCTGGCAGTGGGAAGCCATTCCCACTTGTACTGTCCCTATGGGTCCTTGTCCCAAGTCCCTCTGCAGCTCTCCTGGAGCCCCTTTAGGCACTGGAAGGGGCTCTAAGGGCCCCCTGGAGCCTCCTCTTCTCCAGGCTGCACAATCCCACCTCTCCCAGCCTGGTTCCATGGCCGAGGTGCTCCAGCCCTCAGAGCATCTCCATGGACTCACTCCAACACATCTACATCCTTCTTGTGCTAAGGATCCCAGAGCTGGAAGCAGTGCTCCAGGTGGGATCTCCATACATATGGAAGACAGAGATGAGGAGTTGGGCAGTGCTACCCCATGCCACTTGAAGGGCTAAAAAAAACCCCACTCTATTTCAAAATTGTTCATTTCCAGAAGAGGATTAAACCAAGTCCAGTTCCCAAAGGCTCCTCTAGTGCCATATTCCAGGGAGGCATCCCAATGCACTTTACACACCATGAATTATCCCAGTTTCCAAGAAAATAAACGCAAACCACCACAGAGCTCACAACAGGCTCTGTAGCAGAACCCACAGGTAGAAGCCAGGTTAGGGATTGCAGCTCCTGGGGGTGGAGGAGACATCCTGTTCGGAAGGATGGAGCAGCTGGACAAGAGCTGGGATTGAGACATTGGGCTTGAGGTGGGATCAAGCTCCTGCATGGCCACTGGAAGATTTTATCAACATCTCCTCATAAGTGATGGATATGCCCAAATCCAGAAGATGTCCTGCTCCTTGAGGACCTTGTTCCATATTTCTCAGCCAAAACAAGCCAGGAATACCAGGGATGGAGGGGGTTACAGCTGGGTACAGTCTGCACAAGCATTTGAGTGGCTGCAGCATTCCAGAGGGAAGAGATGGACACAGTACTCAGAGCATCACCTAAAAGATTGTCAGGGGTGGCACATTCCCTGGTTTGGGTTGGGAATGCCTCAAATTCACTCTTCACTCCAGCCTGGAGCTCCTGGCTGGGGGATAGCAGCTGGTTTGAGAGGAGGAGGGTTGAGAATGGCATGTGGGGTATGTGCAGAATGCAAAGAGCTCTCTGGACACAGAACAGGCCACTCAGAGCTTGAGTGGTTTTTTGCTTTAGTCCTTCAGCCCCAAAGGCTTTTTGGAGCAAACACTGTTTCAATGGATTTTTCCAAGCTTTTTGGTGTGCTGAAGTCCTTGAGTCAGGAGCAGCAGAAATGAGTTCACCAAGAAACCCCGTAACAATGATTTCTTTTGGGTGTCAGAGACTCCTTGTTCCTGTAGTTACTCCCAAAACAATCACTTGGAACTGCTTCAAGAGCAGCTTTCTATTTTTAATTCCCTGAGGACAAGGCTTTCACCTCCAGAGCACCAGGAAAATTGCACTGAGATCACAAAATCCCATCTCATTCCAACTCCCTGCCATGGGCAGGGACACCTTCCACTAGACCAGGTCCAAGCCCTGTTCAACCTGGCCTTGAATACTTCCAGGGATGGGGCAGCCATAGCTTCTCTGGGAAACCTGTGTCAGTGCCTCAAGACCCTCACAGCCAACAATTCCTTCCCAATATCCCATCTATCCCTGCCCTCAGGCAGTGGGAAGCCATTCCCCATTGTCCTGTCCCTCTAGACCCTTGTCCCAAGTCCCTCTGCAGCTCTCTTGGAGCCCCTGGCACTGGAAGGGGCTCTGAGGTCTCCCTGGAGCCCTCTCTTCTCCAGGCTGAACACTCAGTTCTCCAAGCCTGGCTTCAGAGCAGAGATGCTCGAGCCCTCAGAGCATCTTTATGGTCTCCTCTGGTCTCACTCCAGCAGTTCCACATCCTTCCTGTGTTGAAGATTCCAGCTACCTCCATTCCTCGCTTCCTCTCCCAAGGCAGAAAAGGAGCAAGGAAGAAGCAGACAGCTGTGAGCACTCACCTGAGGAACAACCTCTGGGAGAACATTCCTCCTACTCAAGTATCTGAGCATGTAACAGCATATCCTTCTCCTGGAGCAGCTGCCAGAAAGCACTCAAGGAATGCCAAAAAACCCACCAAGAGCCCCCAAAACTTGCCAAGGTAACTGTTTTCCCAGAATATGCTTCTTGGGGGAGCAAGCACAGGGAGAGACATACCCCCAGGTGCTGCAGCAGGGCTGCAAGAGAAGATTTTCAAATCCAAGCAGTTGCCAGAAGGCTGTGTGGCCTCTCATGGTGTTTTCCCAGGCACCTGAGCACTTTCCAAGTGGATATTTTGAGGTCCTGTGGTCATCCAGGTGCTACCAAGGTGCCTTCAGGGCTTCTTTTGGGGTTGAACCTCAAGGCTGGCAGATGGTTTTTGACCCACCACACCGTGAAGAAGCTGGAGGAACCCCAGAAGTGTATGGACAAGGTATGTTCTGGTGACAACATGGGTGCTGCAGGCATGGCCAGGGTGGCAATTTATGATCTTAGAGCTCTCTTCCAACCTTGATGATTCTATGACAAGGAATTTCAACATCAATAAACACAACTGGGACAAACCCCACATCCATGTGCAGTGCAGGACCCAGGCTGGAGACACAGCACATGGAGATGAATGGTGTACAACCCTGACCCTGCCTGGAGTACCCATGTTGTCACCAGAACATACTTTATTCTCTTATGGGGTTCCTCCAGCTTTTCATGCTGTGTTGGGTCAAAAACCATCTCCAGCCCTGAGGTTCAAGGCCAAAAGAAGCCCTGAAGGCACCTTGGTAGCAACTGAATGACCACAGGACCTCAAAATGACATCAAGTACAGCTCTGCTGCAATAACCATGTTCAGACCCAATGTCTCACACAAACTGCTCCAGGTAAGCTCAGGGTTACATAAAGCCTTGTCCCCCCACCAGACCAAGAGCTCTCCCACAGGCAGAGCAGATGACGTTCTAAGCACCCAAAAAGCAACAGCCAACATACCATGGGCCAGATGAGCTCCCAGCAACTGGAAAATTTTGAGTGGATCACGGGGAAGATGCTGGGAACTCATAGCCAAGGGTTGGATTGGAAGGACCAGGGTTTCACCTTCGACTGCACCTCCTGCTGCCAGTGAATGGGGGGAGGGACATCCAGGCTGTCCATGGGAAAGCCATGATCATATACAGCCACTCTTAGGAGGGTGCAGCCATGTTTTGAACCAGCTGAAACTCCATGGGGCACTCCCTGTGGAAGCATATCATCTCTCCAGAGACCAGCACAGCTCTAACCAGAGGGAAAGTGCACAGCATCCTCCCAGCTCTGGAGGGGATGAGGACTCTGCACTACCTCAAAGCACCTTCGGGATGGAGCCAGGTCCTGAATGTCCTCAGCCAGTATTGCAGTGGTTACTATCCAGGTGGATTTAGCCACCTAAATCCCAGTTCTTCCCTCTCCAGCGCTGTGACACCTCAGCCCTGCCTGTGTCTACCATGGGCTGAGCACATCCCCAAGGGAAGGGATACACTCTGGCTCCCTGGAGATGTGGGATGGAGCCTAATCCACCGATGATCCTTCAGGACAAGCAATGAGTGGCAAGAGCTCCACAGAGCTGTCAATCAAACATGCCACATGCCAAGCTCAGCCTGCTCTGCTCTTTCCCGTATTTGTTCCTAATCCTTTTTAACTCTTTTGTTTTAAAACATTAAGCTTTCCCCAATCCAGGATGTAAATTAGCACATCCACACCACGGTCACACTCCCTCCTGCCCGGGCTCTACTGCCAAGCGCAGCCCAACCCCGAGCAAATCACTGATGTGTTTCTTTTTCGTGCAGAGATTTAAAAAAAAAAGTGGTTTTGACCTGCCCAGTGACATTCCTGGGAGTGAGATCGTTTCCCAAGCCCTTCCTCCACCAGCTCCTCCCTGAAATTCACCTCAGCATGACTAAGTGTCAACCCCCAACAGCTGATTAACAGCAGCTCAGAGCAGCTTAATTCCTCGTTAAACTGAAGAGCTGAGGATTATTTTGGCTCCACTCCCTCTCCAAACCTTTCCTTGGATTTTTAGTGCCACTTTTAACATCTCCGAGGAGCTTTGCTTGCACAACAGCCCAACTCTGCTCCCTGCAGGGTGGCTGTGCCAGTGCCTATCTAGCTCTGGAGCCGCACAGCTTCCCGAATCCCAAACCCACTGCTTTTCCCTGTGGGAACAAGGAGGAAGGGCTAAAGTCTACCCACACCCTGTTCCTTGCACAGGCAGATCCTCAACTGCATTTCCTGCTCAGTGTGTTAGACACAACTGGTTAAAAAAAAAAAAGCCAAAGTTACACCAGCCCTCACAATTCCAGATAAAAACTCCCCTGAGAACTCAGATCTGAGATAGGCTGAGCCCAAACTCCTGTGAGAGGATCAAGGGGGAGCACAAAGGGCTTTGTCAGACTCGTTGCTGCTTTGGTGGTTTGCAAAGTGAAAGGAAAACAAGGAACAAAAAGACACCCAAAGAGGGGGAGGAGGAGGGGGAGGAGGTGTGAGGGATCAGCAACTAAACAGGAAACTGCCAAAACGCTTCAACACATGGGGCAGGGAGGAGATGTTTGTGAGGGCAGAGCCAAGAGGTTCTGTGCTTCCTTCTGGAACTGTGAGGGTGGAACAGAGAGGCTGTGGCTATCCCGGCCCTGGAAGTGTTCCAGGCCAGGTTGGATGGGGCTTGGAGCAACCTGGGCTAGTGGAAGGTGTCCTTGCTCATGGCAGGGGGTGGAATGCGATATCCTTAAGGTCCCTTCCAACTCAAACCATCCTGGGATTATATACAGGGTGTAATGGATGGTGTAAGGGTGGGATGGAGCTGCAGAGATGGAGGAGGAACCAGCCTGAAGTGAAAGCCTTGGGCTCTGTTCATAGTATCATAGTATGTTAAGGCATTGGAATGGACCTTAGAGATCAGCTAGTCCCAACCCCCTGCCTTGGCCTCCCTGGGCAACCTGTGCCAGTGTCTCACCACCTTCACAGGAAAAAACTTCTTAATATCCAATCTAATTTTCCTTCTTTCAATTTATCCCCATTACTCCTTGTCCTATCACTACAGTTCCTAACCAAGAGTCCCTCTCCAGCTTCCCTGGAGCCCCTTCAGATCCTGGAAGGTTGCTATGACACCCCCACAAAACCTTCTCTTCTCCAGGCTGAACAGCCCCAACTTTCTCAGCCTGTCTTTGTAGGGAAGGTGCTCCAGTCCTCTTATCAGCTTTGTGTCCCTCCTCTCTACTTGCTCCAACAGCTCCGTGTTCTTCTGTTGGGGACACCAGAACTGTGTGCAGTACATGTTAGTACATATTCACTCTTCCAGGCCACAGGATTCTTTCTTGAACCCCCACATTTCCCCTCCCATTAGAATCATAGAATCATCAAGGTTGGAAGAGGCCTTTAAGATCAACAAGTCCAACCACCCCCACGATGTGCTTTTGGTGGTTTTCGGCTTGAGAAAGCAGCACAGCTACTGAGGCACTTGCGTAGGTGCAGGTGGTTTGCAGGGGAGGCAGATTTCAGGTACCAGGACCCTTCATTTCCCAAATCCAGCATAAAATCCAGTGGATTATCTCAGTTTGCACTAGGGAATTAGTGCCCAGCAGTTCCCTTTCTCCAAGGGGTGAGAGAATGCAGTCACATTGTTAGGAAATCAGAATATAGAATGAAATCAGGTCATAATCTCTTCTAGATCTGGTTAAAAATACATCCAATAAAAGGATGAAAGGGGAAGAAAAGACATTCAACAAGTAAAGGAAAAGCTAACAGTCATCTGGGTTAAATTTGGGATTCAAATATTTCCTGCAGAGCAGATCTTGCCTTAATTTGCCTTGCAAAGTTATGTTTGGATCCTGACAAAACATGCCATGGTTGGACAGGTGGACAAAGACGAAAATCCACCTAGAAAGCAAAGTTTTCACCCCAAAAGCTTCTTCTCCAAAGGCTTCCATGTATTTGAGGAGAAGTCTTGTGCTCACACCTGTGGGGAGAGTTTCATCCATCAGGACAAAGCTGGTTGGAGATGGAATTTCCCAGTCAACATGTACTCAACACCTTTGCTCTCTACATGTAGCCTAGGTGGAGTTTCAAGGGCATCACCCACAAGCAGGGGAAGAGGTGATGGGGAAGGCAGGCAAAGGCTTTTAGCTGAATCTCCCACTGGATGAAGAAAAACTTATGGAAGAAGTGACTTCCCAACTTGCCCCCAGTGATGTTTACACCTGGTGCAAAAGCACAGCACTTCTGAGTCCCTCCAGGCTGCCTAGCAGTGGTTAAAAAGCAGCAGTGCTCAGTTTAAAAATCAGTTGGAGTCCAAAAACCAGAGTTTTTCCAGATTTAGAGGATCAAATCAGAATTCCAGTGTGGGAGCAGCAGTGAGTGCATCACTACCGCAGTGATGGCACACACAACCCAGGCCTGATGCTCCTTGTCAACAGGAGATCACAGGTTGCAGCAGCTCCTGGATCAGGTGGCAGAGCCTGAAATCAAGAGCTGTTTATGCATTATTCATCATCATTTCCAAGCTCTAAGCTCCTGTTTCAGCCTCAGCCCAGACCTCATGTGCCTCTTCCGGCACGAAACCCAACCACAGAAAGTTCCCTCTCAGTGCTGGTTCTCATGAGACACTTTCAGCCCCAAATCCATGCAGGACATCTACACAAGGGATCTATTTCCACATGGAGTTATTCCAAAGAAGCAGCAAGGATTTTTCTCTAGTTTCTCAGCACAAACCCAAGCACAGAAAGTTCCCTCTCAGTGCTGCTTCTCATGAGGCACTTTCAGCCCCAAATCCATGCAGGTTGGTCTCCACCAGTGATCTATTTTCCACAGGGAGTTATTCCCAAGAAGCAGTGAGGACTTTGCTCTAGTTTCTCAGCAAAGCAGTTGTTCATTTAGAGCCTCTCTGCTGCTCACCTCCCACAGAGGAGGTTTTAGTGACAAAGCACTGAGGAAAGGTCATGTCCTCCATCTTCAACCCCCAATTTTCCGCCCCCCCCGTAAGCTCCAAAAAAGACCTGATGGTGGTTTTAGTGGTAGGAAACCAAGAACACAGTCAGCTGCTCCTGTCAGAAGTGACATTGTGCCTCAGTGAGGTTTGTGCTCACATTTTCCAGTGACAAGAGAGAACAATAGTAGGTCACACTTAAACAGCCATAAGTTCCCTCAGGGCCTAATCAAAGAATCCACACTTAATCCATGTGCAGGGGACAGGGATGCAGAAATGGATGGAGAATTCAGGGAAGCTTAAATGCTTCCAACACCTCTGATCGAACCAGAAATGCTGTGACTCAGTCTCAGGTTTTCCTTCTTTATTCACAGAATCTTCAAGGTTAGAATTGCAGGTTGGAGAAGTCCTCCAAGATCATCAAATCCAATCATTCCCATCTAAGATTATTTGCACCATGAGATCAAATTTATGTTAAAAATTAAATTGCATACAAGCCAAGAGAAGATCCTCATTAGCAAACATGAAAGCAGTGCTGGAATGACACATCACAGAGGGAAAAGTGGGAAAAACTAAATAATTACTTGTGCTTGATGGGCTCCTCTTCATCTTGCCTGGGCAGCTTGGGCTCACGTTCACTGCTGTCCTTATTCTGCAAAACAGAGGTTGATCTGTCAGACTTTGGCCTCTCTGGAAACGAAGGAGAGCAAACAGCAGCCCTCAAACACCTCCTGGATTGGGGTATTATATTATTGCATTGGATGAAGAGAATTATAGGAAGATAATAGAGATAATAAAGGTTTAGGACATGAACAAGGCCAAAATCACCTGCAAAAAAACCCAGGAGATACATCAACAGGCTTCACCCAGGTGCCTTTTGTCTCCTCATTTATCATTTGGGATGTTTTATCGAGTGGGAAAACATGGAAACACACAGGGATCAGGACGACAAAGGATCTAATTTGAGCACCAGAAACACCATGTAGCAACAAAAATCCAATCCCTCTGGAACAGGGTGTGTGACAAGACTCATTTTGCCTCATCAAATACAGCACTAAGAGCTTATTAGTACAGTTCCCAATTATATTTATCATCCAGGCAGGCACAGATATGGAATGTTAACACTGAAGAGTTGGGAAAGATTTTGTTGGGTTCTCCTAGTGATTAACCAATTCCATTCCACCACTAAAAGTGTTTTCCACAGCAAACACATCTGTCCTCATTCAGCAGGGAATATTGTTATGGAAAAGGCAATGAAGGAGCCAGTTCCTGGGAAGCTGTTGCTTTTCCCTCCAAATGAAAAGGAAAATGTGACAGCAGAGAGCAGATTAAGGTATAGAATCCTGGAATGGTTTGAGTTGGAAGGACCTTAAGGATCACCTCATCCCTTGCCCTGCCATGGGCAGGGACACCACCCACTAGAACAGGTTGCTCCAAGCCCCATCCAGCCTGGCCTGGAACACTTCCAGGGATGGGGCAGTCACAGCTGCTCTGGGAAACCTGTGCCAGTGCCTCACCACCCTCACAGCCAACAATTCCTTCCCAATAGCCCATCTAGCCCTGCCCTCTGGCAGTGGGAAGCCATTCCCTGTGTTCTGTCCCCCTCCAGGCCCTTGTCCAAGTCCCTCTCCACATCAGGATACCACAATTATTTACAGCTAAGCTGATCCCTAAGCTCTGCCAGGCCCAGGGAGGTTTCCCTAGGAAACTGATGACTCACCCTGTGGATCTGTACACAAACTTCCAAACTCTGTTCTGCAACCTGGGTTAAAAATTAGATTCCAAGCAAACAGGGAAAGGAGTCAGCAATCAGCTCAGTTCAGGCTCCAGGGACTGGAGTTGTTCAGGTTCAGCTGCTGCTCAAAGGGCAGGAAAAAAAATGGGAAAATAACAACAATCATTCCCAAATCCAATATTTAGCTCAGTTTTATCTTGCTGTTTCCAATTTTATTTTAAAGTCCATAATAACCTTGTGATCCAGACATATTCCTGGTTCAGTAAATGCTCAATAAATTCCATAAATGGCTGGGAAGGGCCTCGTGGAACTTTCTGGTGTGAGCTCAGAGCTGAGGAATATTTAGCCACTCCACAGTACTTAAAAGTTGTGGGAAGTTCCTTCCTGCACTCAGAGTCCTTTCTAGTTCCTTTCATCTTTTCATACTTGTAGTGCCTGTGCACAGAGCCTGCATTCCCCTCATTCCTGCCAGGATTTTATCCAGAGGGTTCTAAGATAAAGAGATATTTGGCAAAAGCACTGACACTGTGCTGTGGCTGTTCTCCCCCCACAGGCAGCACTGCAGATCCTTCTTTTCCCTCTATCCTGAAAGAATTTGATATTAAAATCCTATCATTCCTCTAGATCTTGCCCAAAATCCTCAACTCCAATTTATTTTCCATTGCCACCTCAATATTTTCTACTCTGGGTGATATTCCTAGAAAAATCAAGGACACTGGCACAGGTTTCCCCAAGAGGCTGGGGCTGCCTCATCCCTGGAAGTGTTGTTCAAGGCTGGTCTAGTGGAAGGGGTCCCTGTAGGGGGTGGAATGAGGTATCCTTAAGGTCCCTTCCAACTCAAACCTTTCCAGGATTTTCTGTAGTGCCTTCACCCAGGGAATTTTTGCTGCTCATTGGATGACACAGAGCAGGCGAGTGCCAGTCTCCCTGGAGATGTCCTGAGCTGGAAGGAATGAGAAAAGGCAACACATGATGAAGGAGCCAAAGAATCCTAGAATACCAAGAACCTTAAGAATCATCTAGTTCAAGGACACCTTCTACTAGCCCAGGTTGCTCCAAGACCCATCCAATCTGGCCTGGAACACTTCCAGGGATGGGGCAGACACAGCTGCTCTGGGCAACCTGTGTCAGTGCCTCAACACCCTCACAGCCAACAATTCCATTATCCCACCTAGCCCTGCCCTCTGGCAAGTGGGAAGCCACTCTCTGTGTCCTATCCCTCTGGGCCCTTGTCCCAACTCCCTCTGCAGCTCTCTTGAAACCCCTCTAGGCACTGGAAGGGGCTCTAAGGTCTTCCTGGAGCCTTCTCTTCTCCAGGCTGGACACCTCCAGCTCTCCCAGCCTGGATCCATGGCAGAGGGGGTCCAGAATCATGGACTGGATTGGGTTGGAAGGGACCTTATAGCTCATCTCATTCCACCCCCTGCTGTGGGCAGGGACACCTTCCACTAGCCCAGGTTGCTTCAAGTCCCATCCAACCTGGCCTTCAACACGTCCAGGGATGGGCTTTCCCCACAGCTGAGAGGGAATTACTCAAATCCATTAATAACTAGAGGGAAAAGGGGGAAATAACATTCCCTAGATAATCCTGCTCAGTGCAGAGGTGACTCACTGCCCTGGCAGGAGTGATGGAGGTTTGTGACCAACATCTCTTGTGCACAATCAGGAGTTTCCCTCTCCAGCCATTCCTGTCGGTGCAGAACCTGAAACTACATGGGAAGTATGGAGCCTCTGGAGGCTGCTGTGCCTCCTTGGGAGCAAAGGGTTACAAGAAGCAGCTCCCATTACTAACATCATTTATTGATATTGAGACAACTTATCTTACAGCTCCAAGTTATCCTGCTGCCCTGTCGCTCTCCTCTTCCTCCTCTGCTCACACTGGATTAATCCAGTCCCTCAGGACTTTGCCATCTTGGGGTTCTCCTCCTTTTGCTCCCGATTTTTGGCTTAAGATCTGCTCCTTCATCCTTCTATTCAATATTTCTGCTCAATGACCGTGCCACAAATTTCATTCCTTAACAATTGTGCCACAACCTCCACTCCTTACCTCAGCAAAGGAAATATTCCTCCCCCAAAACAGCGTTTTCCCCCTAATTCCTGGGTCATCCTTGCAGTGTTTTCATGCACTTCCTTTTGCTTGCTGGTGGCCACTTCCCACAGGTGCTGAGCCCCAGCTCAACTCTCACTACTTTCACTTCAACTTCCTCAGTTTCCAAACCTAAATACCACAAAAAGAGCCAAAAATAACCTCTCACTGCTCCATTTTCCCTCCAGAGATTCCTCTTTTCAAGGCACTTCAGGTCTTTATTATCAGCTGAAAGTCCTAAGATTGGAGACACACAAGCCTAAAGACTGTTCCCAAATCATTCCCATCCCCTGGAAGGAGGTACTCAAAAGAGAAATTCCCAACATGAAAAACTTGTTTGTAGTCTCCTATTAATTCTCAGATGTGACAAGCTACACAAGCTCTTGGCTTGTAGCTTCCAACACAAAACCTTTCCTCCCTGCATTCCCACCTTTCACAGAGGTCTGGGATGAAAAGAGTCTAATCCAATGTCTGTTCCAGCTGTAAATCCATGAGGATTTGCATCAAGTTGTTCCAAGAGTGTCAAGCTCTTTGCTACACCCACAAGGCCCATAGAGAGCTGTACGTGGGATCAGGCATTGTACTCCTAGCTGAGAATATATAGGGAACTAGGCATGTTGGATTTGGGGGGAACTGGGAATTCTGGGGGTTGTCTGTGCAGAGCCGGGAGTTGCACTTGAAGATCCTTGTGGATCCCTTCCAGCTCAGGATGTTTGATGGGTCATTACCAGGGAGCTGAGTCCACCTCCTCCCACCACCACCCCCAGTCCTGCCAGGCAGAGGTTTGATTTCCCTCCTGAAGAACAACTGGATTTTACTGAGCTCCCCCCAGAATTCCTGTTCCACCACTTCCCAGACTTCAGGCAGGTCATATCCCAAAGCCTGGAGAACCAGCAGAGAGGAATGTGGTTGTGGAAGGCATTTCTCTCATCTCTCTGGGTGCTTTGCCTAGGAAATTACAACCCATTAGATTCCTTTTCCCTGCAGGAAACTCTCCCAGCCACCATGTGCTTTCCGAGAGTTTGGGAAGAGAGAAGGATCTGCTCTATGGGAAATAGAACATCTTGAGTAATATGAAACTTTGCACTGGGGTTCAGCACTTTATCAGGACTTTTCCTTGCTGGAAGGAGACTTCTAGTGAAATGCCAAGGGAAGAAACTCACTTGGCATCACATTCCAAGGTTTAAGGCCATAAGGGATGTTTAAATCCCTTCTGATCTGGGAATCTCGGTCAGTTATTTCTATACTGCTGCATCCACATACAAATAAAGCATCTTTTCCAAGAAAAGAAGGATACCACCTTATCCCAAAGAGAACAGGAGGAAAAGCCATTATTTTCCTTAGCTGCTTCACTTATATCCCACACAATGCCATAGGTTATTTCCAGGTGTTGCTTCCTGCCATCACTCACTTCCAAAGAGGCTTTTAAATCCCTCAGGGATGGTGACTCCACCCCTGCCCTGGGCAGCCTGTGCCAGGGCTGGACAGCTCTTTCCAGGAGGAATATTCCCAATATCCAACGTGAACCTCCCCTGAAGCAACCTGCGGCCATTTCCTCTTGTCCTAGGCCCTGGGAGCAGAGCCCAACCCCCACCTGGATCCAACCTCCTGTCGGGGAATTGGAGAGATCCAGAGGTTCTCCCCCTTGAATGCGTCTCCCTTTCTTCTCTTTTAGTTTAAGGAATTACAAATCAGGTTTTTCCTCATTCCCAACTCAACCAGCTTCACCCCTTTTGCCTTTATATTCAAATAGTGGTTTATTAGCCCTTTTCCAACCCTTTGGAATTTCTCCAGCACTCAGCAAAGCTCAAACTCAAATCCCAGCAGGCCA